GGGGGGGGGGGGCAAAGGAAGATGGTGTGGAAAGGGAAGGAGAGATAGAGGAAGTGAAAAGTTACAAATACTTAGGATATATAATGATGGCAAATGGAGGTCAAAGGGAACATATAGAGGAGAGAGTTAAGAAAGGAGCGGTGGTAATGAGAGAGGTATGGGGGATAGGAAAAAGGAAGTTTGGAAAGGATTGGGCTAGAAGGATGTGGCTATTTGATAGATTGGTGTGGACGGTGATTAGTTATGGAGTGGAAATTTGGGGATGGAAAGAGAGGGAGGGGGTGGAGAGGATACAAGACAGGTATATGAAATGGGTACTAGGAGTTGGGAGGTGCACACCGGGATACATGGTAGGGAAGAAATACAGAGGGAAAAGTTAAGGAGGAGGGCGGGAATGAGAGGGTGGAGTTATGAAAAGAAACTGGGTGAAGGAGAAGGAGGTGATTTGGCGAGGATGTGTTGGGAAGAGATGAAGGATAGGGCGAAAGAAGGAAAAGTAATGGGAAAATGGGAGGAGGAAAGGAGGGATTTTTACGATGAAAAGAGTTGGAGTATAAGGGAGGTGGAAAAGATGAGAGAAAAGGGAGAATTGAGGGGGGAAGAGATAGTGAGAAGAGAGAGGAAGTGGCAGGAAGAGGAAAGGTGGGAAAAAATTAGAAGATCAAGGTATAATAGATGGTATAGTTGGGTGAAGGGAAAGGGGGTGCCGGAGTATTTGAGGAGAGATTGGAAGGAGGAAAGATGGAAAAGGGTGGCGAGTTATAGATTAGGAGATGGCATGAGAGGAAGTAGATACTGGGAGGGGGAGGAGGGAAGAAAGTGTAGGATATGTGGAAGGGGGGAGGAAATATGGGAGCATATATGGGAGGAATGTACAGAGTGGGGGATGGAAAAGGGATGGCAGGAGATGGTGAATGAGGTCTTGGGGGAGGGGGGAGACGGAGAGTTTTGGATGAAAGGGTTAGATGAAATAAGGGAGGGAGGGGGATGGTTAGGAATGAATTGAGATATGGAAGGAAGGAAGGAATATGCGGCGAAAACCGAAGTCCGAGGAATGAATGTGAAAAAAAGGATGGATGATTGTAAGTAATGTTCTCTCTCTCTCTCTCTCTATTATGTATGCAAAAAGCGAAAAGAGGCATATAGATTTGTAAGCGGAGCGGAAGTCCGCAGTGTACCCCGCAAGGGAATAAAGCACCTTTACTACTACATTAATAATATTAGACTAATAGTTATTAATAATACGAAATATATGAAGCATTAACTTTCACATATTTTTGTTAATTTACTTAAATAAAAAAATCTTATTTGTAAGAAAGAAATATTTTTCAAAATTTGGAAAATCTATTTACTCGAATAACGTAATCGTTTTTGTCGAATATAGACACTGAGAAAAAATTTTTATAAATTTAATAAATGTATTTAAATGAAATGAAATTAGCTTTATTTACTTAAATAATACTTTAAATATAAAACCTTGTTTATTTTTAGTAAATTAAAGCATTAAAATTAAAAAAGGAGTTCTTGCTGAAAGGTTTGCTTCAATAAAACTTATTGGGTGTACAACTTATTTCGGTCCGTTTTCAAAAGATGGCTCTAGGTGCTATAAATGGTTGACGTCGACAGCTGATTTTTGCTGTATCGTGAAGTGTCAACATCTGTCAACCAAATAATGTTTACAAACCTTTGAGTTTTGCACAACAAGTTTAATTTTTACTGCGTTGAAAATGTCGAGTTTCGTTCCAAATAAGCACCATTTGCGGGAAGTTTTGATTTTCTGTTTCAATTGGAAGAAAAGTGCAGCTGAATCGCATCGAATGCTTGTGGAAGTTTATGGTGAATCTGCACCGTCGGATAAATC